ATCTTCTGGTATGGTTCTTGGAAGCAACTTGCCATCCCCGTCTGGTTCACTCAGTGCCAATGTCAGGTAGTGTGTTTCTATCGGTTGAGATGTTATTGTCTCTTTGGTGTACATTATCTTTGTAAAATTCTTAGTGCATGCTTTTGATTTATTTGTCAATCCTATGTATCTCATTATTCATGGTACAGAGATGGTAGATATGGTAGTCCAAGAACATCTTCATTGCCAGTCGACGAGCAGCAAAAAATGCAGCACTACAATCAAATGTTGTCTGGTAGAAACATTCAGCAGTCTGGCTTGTCTGTGCCTGGAGCTCTTCCAGGAACTGATCGTGGAGTTCGTATAGTTCCTGGTGGAAATGGTATGAGCATGATGTGTGGGATGAACAGAGGCATGCCAACTTCAAGGCCAGGGTTTCAGGGGATGACTTCACCATCTATGCTAAATTCTGGGAGTATGCTTTCATCCAGTATGGTGGGGATACCAAGCCCTGTAAATATGCACTCTGGAGCTGGTTCTGGTCAGGGAAACTTGATGATAAGACCCCGTGATGCTTTGCATATGATGCGGGTGAGTTGTTGACGCACCTACATTGTTTTAGACACAGATTTAATTCTGTGATGGTAGCTTTTAGAATGTTGCTATGTGCGATTCTAATTTAAATTCCAAAGATAATATGAAATGGTTCATAGCATATGATTCCTTTGTCCTCAAGGATTTATTTTTTTGCAGGTTGGGGTCAAATGTGCCCAACTTGCAAGTTGCAACAGTGTTTGTTAACCACATTCATTTTTTTAGTTTGATTATTTTTCTCCAGTTTCTTCTGCCACTCTGGGAGTGCCAACTGCGAAGTGGAAGAAGAAAGGCTAAAGTTGAATGTGCCTAGTTGCATAGTGTCAACCATCTTCATTAGTTTTATCTTATTGTTTTATTACTCTTTTTCTTCCACGAGTTTGGGGGTGGAAAGAGGGGGAAGGGGGAGGTATGTCCTTGGGGTATTTAATGTTGGTTACTTTTGATCTGTTGGTTTCCTCCCTTATGTCAGGCTCTTCTTTTGTATCAAAATACGTCATGAAGTTTGAAATTGTGGCATGTGTATATTTAATTCTTGAGGTTTTTAGTTTCCTGGATCAAAAGCTAAAGCCTCAGTCCTCACGTCACCCTCATTAAGCTTCTATTGGCAGGGCTGGAGATGAACTTCTTTTCACACTAAATTTGATTATCTAGTGTTACACTTAGAACAATCACTTGTCATTTCACTGCTTTTCTAGGTCGCCGTTCTTGGCAGACACATTTGATGAGAAGATTTGATTATTTCCTTTCCTTTCTCAATATTCACTGTTTTTTTTGCTTGTAATTGTCCCAATCCACCAAGGTTTTATGTTTACTTGACTATTGAGGTTTTTTTGTCATAGCCTGGCCATAATCCGGAGCATCAAAGGCAACTTATGGTTCCAGAACTTCAAATGCAGGTCACGCAAGGGAATGGCCAAGGTGTTACTCCATTCAATATGCTGAGTTCTGGTTTTCCTAATCAGACAACTCCGCCATCTGCTCAAACATATCCAGGCCATACTCACCAGCAGCATCAGATATCCCCACAACAGTCCCATGCACTCAGCAACCCTCATAACCCTCATCTTCAAGGCCCGAATCATGCTACGGGGCCGCAGCAGCAAGCCTATGCCATCCGTGTTGCAAAAGAAAGGCTGCAACAGCGGTATTTGCATCAACAGCAACAGTTTTCTGCATCTAATTCTTTGGTGCCACACGTCCAGACGCAGGCTCAACTTCCCATGTCATCAACTTTGCAAAATAGTTCCCAACTTCAGTCACAAACTTCTCCTCACCCGGTACCTACTATGACACCATCTTCCCCAAGGACTCCCATGTCATCCCAGCACCAGCAGAAACATCATCTGCCATCCCACGGCCTTAGCCGGAATCCTGGTGCTAGTGGGATGGCCAATCAGATGGGGAAGCAACGACAAAGACAACCACAGCAGCACCATCTTCAACAATCTGGTAGACACCACCCTCAACAACGGCAACTTACGCAGTCTCAGCAGCAGGCTAAACTTTCAAAGGGAATGGGAAGAGGCAATTCAATGGTGCATCAGAACCTCTCCATTGATCCTATTGATCCTTCTCAACTTAATGGGCTTATGCCTCCAGGAAGCCAAGCTCTTGAGAAAGGAGAACAAATCATGCAGTTGATGCAAGGTCAAGGTGCATATTCTGGGTCTGGCCTTAATCCAGTAACATCGAAACCATTGGTCCCCCAATCAGCAAACCATTCTCAGTTGCAGCAAAAGTTACTTTCTAGTGCACCAACCCCTCCATCAAACCAACTCCAGCAAATGCCTTCTCATTCTGATAATATCACTCAAGGCCAGGTTCCACCAGTTTCTTCTAGTCATATGATATCTGCTTCACATCAAACTGGCTCTCCATCAGGTATGGCTTCCAACCACCAGCAAGTGCAGCCGCAGTCACAGCCACTGCCACAGCAACAACAAAAGCAAGCTAATCAAACTCAGCCTTATGTTCAGAGAGTTGTGCAGCACAATTGCCAAGTGAACTCGGAGATTCCAAATAAGTCTCAAAATGATCCAACTCAAGCTGATGAGCAGCCTGTAAATGGTGCTTCGCAGGTGGGTGTGAGCATGGTGATTCCTCAGTCCTGTACTGATTCATCTAGTGTAGTGCCATCATCAGAAGCAGTTTATGATGCTAACATGCCGAATTCAACCGCTCAAGTGGGTCCCATTGGGAGCCCTGCACAAACTAATACTTCTGGGAATGTGCCTGGGCCACCTATCAGTCAAGGGTTAGGCCCAAGAAAGTTATCTGGTAACTTGCTCTCTCATGGGCATAATGTTGGAGCACAGTGGCAGCAGCAGCAGCAGCTACTGCAGCGGTCTCCTTCACTGCCGTCCCCATCCCAACAACAGTACCAGCAACAAGAACAACAGCAGCAGCAGGAACAAGAGCCACCCCAACATCAACTGACTCTGCAACAGCAGTCTCAGCAGCAAATGCAGCATCTGCAAGCAGGGCAAGGAAGTTTGTATATGATGTCTGGTAATTCAACACCAGAATGAATGATTCTAGGGAATTGAGCAGCTGCAGCAACCGTTCCTGCCAGGTTGGGTCTGCATGCCCTTGGTACAGCGGTGTACAGGTAGTTGCTATTCTTTAATTCCACAAGATGGATATGTACAGGTAGTTGCTATTCTTTAATTCCACAAGATGGATATAACATGATAGGGCTTTGCATAAACTTGAATGTATCACCAACATCATCAAAAAAGCTATTCTTCGGCTTATTAGTTCTCAAATACTCCCAAACTCAAATACTCCCAAACCTTTTCTGTTTGAAGTGAATTATAGTGATGAAGCATGCATTACTTCTAATCTCTTAAATACAAAATTGCGTTGCTTTTCCCTTTTTGTTGTCTTATTGTCTTTCTCAGTAGTAGGATATGTCTTCCACTTCTCTATTGCTGAGTATTGCTTTGGTGCTCGACTGCTAGTTCATATTTTATTTTTTCCGCAAATACTGTCTGAGTTGTCTAATTTTTTATTTTTCATTTCTGCGAGTCAAAGGAGCTATTTCAATCATAAAACGTATCTGATTTGAGTTTGGGGTTTAATGCTAGATGAAGCTGATTATTCGACAAGGGCATATTGACAGGAAGAGGGTTGTCATCGTATTTGCAGGTTTTGTGAAAAATGTAGCTGGACCACCAAAGTGACGTTGCAAGGCATAAGGCATTTTGCTTTTGTTTTTGGAAACCATGTAAATTACCACTGGGCTAGATTTCTGGGAAGATAGAGACTGATATAGAGGTACGTGTACAGGGGTCTTATCTTTCCATTTCTAGTACCTGTCGTTTTTCTTCCAATTTTTTCTTTATTTTTCTTGGTCTCCCAGCATATTTGTCGAGGGACCTTATTTATTTTTGGCCCGGTAGATTAGCGCATGCATTATTACCCTTTTTCAGATCAAAGGGTGTTGCAATCATTTTTATGGGCAAAAAAGCTTTTTGCAAATCTTGTGAATATTAGAGATGTCTGGGGTAATACCTTGGCCAGTGGGATTAGAACAATCAACATCTGTCAATGCCATGTCTGCCTCTCGAACTATTGTAACTTGTAACGGTTCGCAGTTTATAATGCAAAGAGTCCTGATAGCTGTTCATCCACATCTGGTGTTTGTTAAAGCCAACAGCATCCGCAATGCATAATATTTTCTGCCCTGAACTTTGTGTTGGGAGCTCCAGCTTAAGAAAGAAAAAAATAGTAATGTTGGGGGGAAGTCGGGTGCCGTTATATCCTCGTGTATGATCTGCGGTTGCAAATTTGCACTGTTGTTTCCTGTCCTTAATTTTGATAATCTTTGGAATGTGTAACGCGTATCATTAGATTCTTTACCTTGGAGATTAGCCTTTGATCGTTCCTTTTGTATATATCTTGGAGAGGATACTCATAAGTAGATAAATTACAGTTGTTCCTTTTATTTTTGGATTCGTTGGACGGTGGCATGAGGCATGGAAGAGTTAAAGATGTGAGACGCTCCCCATTCCCGGCCCGGGCAGGGTTGGCGCAGGGAGTGGAAGTGCTTCACCAACAAATTCAGACAGGACTGTTATGTCGTTTGGTATGATTTAGTGATCGTCTTCTTTCATCGAAATGCTGTGTTGTGAGGGATCAAAGCCACAGTTCTTAATTTTTGGAGATCGTGGTCGTAGTGAAAAAACAAAGAAAGCGAAAGGAAAACGTTGGTTAACGGACATTGCACTACTCATCATTCAGAATTCAATCCCGATGCGTTCAAATCTCAGTTAGTACTCGATCTGATCGGAGCCCAGGGTGTGCAGAGGAAATCTTGACGGGCAGAAGTAACCGCCATTCGGGTGCTGGCCCCGAAGGGACGGTAGGTCCATGCATTCGGAAAATTGTGAAGGATTTGCTACCGGAAGTTAAGAGCAGACTGACATATGATGGCAGTGCCATAAAGAGTTTCTCAGTGCAAGTTTTAACAATCTTCAACCATTAACCAATGCGTTGAAGATGAAGTACAAATCAATTACTTCACCCCTAACATTAAGTTTTTTCAGAGGACCTCACGCTGATAAAATACAAAAAGGGAAAAGGATCCTCGCCTGATCATTCTTCTAGGGATCCTGTGATTGTGATCGTTCATCGTAGATCGTACGGTCAATTTTTATTAGATATTATTTATATTTAATTTTTAAAATGATTTCTGATCACACGATGTACGATGAAAGGTCATGATCACGGGATCCTTAGGATCCCTAGGAAAAGTATCCGGTGAGGATCCTTTTAGAAAAAAACAAACTACTCAATGCAGTAGAAAGGACGTACTAAGTTTTTTTCCTGAACAACTTGTATGATACTAATTCACTGCATCTTAGCTAATAACACAAGGACGTGTAAAAGAAATTAACACGTCCTTGCATTATTGGCACATGACGCCACATGTGGCGGTGAACCTTGCACTGTCTTCCTCAAACACCAAAATGACAGATTTTCTTTTTGCAACCAACGTAGCACCTATCCAACGGAAAGATGATGTGCTTCGCCTCTATACTCAAGTTCGAATCCTCCTCTTTGTAATTCAAGTTAGAGGATCTATTACAAAGAATAAATAACAAATTACAAAAGAAAACAAAAGAATGCGGTTAAGCTAGATAAATCTAGAATACAGATTATACTTGCGTAAAATAGAATGTGAGTTTAAGAAAGCAAATTCTATACTTTGATGACATTCATCCATCATATCAATATCCATAATCACAGAATTATTAGCAAACATTATCCATAATCCAAAAGAAAAACTAATGAAAATGGTTTGAAAACTTTAAGTTTTAATCAAAACACATATTAAGCTTAGCTGATAATACGAATCCGTTCATCCGAAAAAAAGAAAAGGAAAACTAACATTACGACATCAACTAAAAGATTACAATTGCAGAGAGAGAGAGAGAGAGAGAGAGAGAGAGAGAGAGAGAGAGAGAGAGAGAGTGAGAGAGTGAGAGAGAGATTGAATCCTTAACAAATTAAACTTGGAACTCTATGACACTACGCATACATTCTGGGCTTCAACTGTCAACTATACAAATCCAATTCAACAACGAACCCAAGAACCATAACATTACACTCAAATCGAAAATCGAAAATCTACCTTGGAAACGAATTAGGTTGATGAAATTCATCATCAGGTGCTGCCGAAAGCTGTGTTAATGGAGTCAATAATCTTCTGCTGTGACTGCAGGATCATGCTCATCCTCTTCTTCTCCATCTCCATTCTACACCTCTCCGTTTCCTTCATCATCTCCATCCTCCTGTTCTCAACCCCGATCAACTGCTGGGCGAATGCCCTCATCTCGTCTGCTAATTCCACCACCATCTCCCTCCCCTTTTGCTGCGCCGGCTCCACCACATCTCCGTCGTCCACCGCCTCTCTCCCCCTCTTTAACGCCGCCGGTCCCTGCAAAAACGGGTCTTTTCCGGAAAATCTGTTCACAAACGTCGGCCTCCGCAGGATGTACTCAATGCTCCGGACCCTGTTGGAGTTCTCCTCATCGTCTTCGTCATCGCCACCGCCGTGATAATCACGCTCTTCTTCCTCTTGCTGATGTGGCATCTCCCCCATTGGCATGGCCGAGATGGGCATGGGCCCGCGCTCCATCTGCTCCATGAGCTCGAAGAAGGGCCAACCGGACTTGGTCCGCTGGCCTAGGCGCTTCTTAACGCCGCGGTGTCGCTGCCGGAGCTTCTCCATCTTGTGGCGGCACTGCGTGGAGGATTTCGACGGCTCGCCGTACTCGTAGCCGCACCGAGCCGCCACGGTCACCGCCACCTCCTCCCACTGGCTCGACTTCAGCTGTCCCCTCCTCAGCGCGTACCACTTCTCCTGGTAGGCCCGGATCAGCTGCACCGTCTCCTCGTGGGTCCACGGCAGAGGCTGGGGCTTCTTGGCGGAGGGTGTGAGCGAGGCGGAGACTGAGGCCGTGGGGGAGGCCGGGGGCGAGGGCGGGGGTGGGGTGGACATTGCTGTGGGGGTGGTTAGGGCTAGAGATTTGGAATTTTGGGGTTAGGGTTTGGGGGAATTGGGGGTTTTTTGTTTGAGAGCTGTGGAGGTTGGTGGTGGCGGTGGCGGTGGTGGTGATGGTTGGGCCGTGGGGGGGGACTTGTTGGGGTGGATTTGTGGGTGGGGCCCAGTAGTGGGTTGGAGGAGTTTAGAGTTGAAGTCAATGGATCCGAACCCGGTTTTGGAGTTTAAAAGAGTTGGAAGAAGCAGGAAACTAGTTGGGCTTTTGTTTGCCCGTTTTTAACGTTTTCACAGTTTGTACGCTTTTATCCCCGGCACGTCTTTTTTCTCATTACTCAACAACAATTGTTTATTGTTTTTAATGTTACAACGAATGACTTTAACACTCTTATTTTTTGTTACAACGAACGACATATAGTCTCCTAGTTAATTTGATTTCCAATTACGTTATAACTCTCTTGTAGCATTTTTCATTCTTATAGTTTTGTTTTGCTTTCACTTTATACTAATTCGTCAACTAGGTTGATTTTTCCGTCTATTTCACTCATTTGACGGATTGGATTAACGACACGTGGTAGTGGTCCAAGAAAACATCACATCCTATGTTGTCTTAATATTTTTTTATCAAACGATAGATTTTGTTAGATTATGTGTTATATTTGCTAACGACGGAGTTTAAACTCATGCCTTCATGCAAGGGGCTCAACTTATTTTCACCACTATGACAAAGGGCCACTTGCCCATGTTCTCTTGATATGCTCATTCCTTCATTTTGTCCCCATTCACAAAATAGTTGGAATTACATACATACATATATACGTACAAAAAAAACATGCCAAAAAATTTGAAAAAATTAATACATATATCTAAGGGTTCCTCCTTGGAGAGATTTTTCGGTGCAGCAGAAACATTATTCGGTACATTAAGGGTTTAATATAAGTGGTTGAATACTTAAATTTTTTATTTTCAACAACTTGTACTATGATCCTTGATGTACCAAGTTGTGTTCCCGAAATATGATAAAATTGCTCCTTTTCTTGGGGTACAGTGTGGGAACCACTCACACTGGTTGCATTTAAGCATGCGTTCTGCACACTAGCCAGAGAGTCAGAGAGTACAGCTTTCAGAGCAAGTCCCAGCAATACACGAAGTAGCAACCTTCATTTAATTCTAAGCCATTCCAAAGCCAAAAGAAATAATCCATCTTTCTCCCTCTCTCCTTCTATTTGTTTCACAACCTTCAAACCAAAGCTCTCACTTTCTCTCTCATCAGAAGAATCTCCAGAAGAGAGAGAACAGAAAAAACCTTCAAGCTTTAAGAACATGGAGTCTAATGGTATCATGGAGCCCACTGTTCTTAATCAGTTCATCCCTAGAAGGTTTTCTTTCTTGAGTTTTTTTTTTGTTTTCTTCTAGTTTTCTTACCTTTTTTTGTTTGTTTGTAAAGTTTGCAACTTTGAATCTTTTGTTTGTAACACAGAAAGTTTGTGTGTGTGTGTTTTTTTTTAAATAGGTACCAAGTGAAAGTGTTTGAGGTTGCAAAGCGGAAGAACACGATTGCGGTGCTGGAAACAGGAGCTGGGAAGACGATGATAGCTGTGATGCTCATCAAGCACGTTGCTGAGGAGATGATGAGTATCATCCCCTCCTCTGGAGTTAAAAAGTTGATCATTTTCTTGGCTCCGACAGTTTATCTTGTCACTCAAGTAAAAACTTTGATTCACTTCTTATTTTTCTGTGTTTTTGTTTGTTTGTTGAGTACAAAACTGTCCCAACTTTATTCCTCACTTTTAGCTAGATGATCTTCCAAGGAGAACTTAAATGTTTGATAGAAGTTTAATTTTTTTCTTCTAATAAAAGTTCTTTTAGCAAAGTGCTTATGATCATGAGTACTTCTTACACAAGTAGTCACAAATGACGCATGCGGGGACTATTTTAGAATGGGCTAAAAACGATTTTTGACACTCAGAAGTGCTTCTAACTAAGTTTGGTAGAAAAACTTAAAAAATAATTTCTGTAATGTTTTTCTAGCTTCTCCAAAAACCACTACAATTTTCAATGAATTTTTTGACGTGTTTCTAATGAAACACTATACGTGCTTACTAACATAAATGCTTCTAGTAGTCCCAAACGGATCCGGTGAAAAAATTGGAGTTATCATTCAACTGCTGAACCAATTTCAATTTTGTTTGGCAGCAATACAAGGTTATTAAAAATTCCACAACTCTTGAAGTGGAAGAGTACTATGGAGCCAAGGGAGTGGATGAATGGACCCGGAGCTGTTGGGAAACAGAAGCTAATACACATGATGTAAGTTTAATTTTCTTCGATTTTCGAGTAATCGATGCTTAATCAGCTTTTTTTGTACAAATCATTTCCGAGATTTAGAACTAATCACTGATTTATTTTTTTCTTATGCTGTAGATACTGGTCATGACACCACAGGTTCTCTTGGATGCCATGAGGAACGCTTTCTTAAACTTGGAAATGTTTAGCTTGATAATCTTCGACGAATGTCATCGCGCTACAGGCAATCATCCCTATACGAAAATAATGAAGGTAGTTTACGGATTATAGTTTTAGTAATGGTTTCCTACTTGTAATCTTCAATTTTAAGAGTCTGTGGATTGTCTATCTAGTTGACTCCACGATCGTAAGGGGCAACGAGCATCTGCATTGTGCAGCGAAACACCATTGACGCAATTAGATGCACATACACACGTATACATACACAATGTTGATCGCTTGCTCACTAGTGAGTAGGAGATCATGAGTTTACAAAGTAATATGTATGTATAAAAAACTCGTTCAAGTACATCTGAGTGACTAATATCTTGGTTTTGAAGGATTTTTATCACCAATCTGTGAACCGGCCAAAGATTTTTGGGATGACAGCGTCCCCCGTTATAAGAAAAGGTCAGATATTGGTGCTTCATAGCTAGTGAAGTTCTACAATCTGTTATGCAAAATATTCAAGAGATCTTTTCACATTTCAGGTGTCTCGTCCGCCATGGATTGTGAGGATCAAATATCTGCACTTGAAAGCATGTTGGATGCTCAGGTATTTTGAGCTTTTCATGTTGTGATCGTTCTCCATTTATTACTAGACGTGGTCACAATTTTGTTGTCTAAATATCTTGAGACGTGCCGATGTAGGTTTACACTGTAGAAGACAGGACTGAAATCGAAACGTTTGTTCCCTCAGCAGTCCACAAATGTAGGTTCTACAAGCAAGCACCGTCCACCTATTCGGATCTGAAGGAAAAGATGGAAGCTTTGCTGTCGAAGGTAGTCCTGCGCCGTATCATTTCGTTCGTTCACAAAGTATGTTAGACTTATGTCTTAGCTACTGTACTTCTGAATACACTAACAGGTATTTAATTTCATGGACAGTATGCTTCTGAGTTGGAGTTGCAAGAGCAAATGCCAAGTCAGTACCAAGACATCAGTGACAAGATAAAGATGTTGCGAAAGCGGTTACACAATGACCACATGAAGATCTTGTACTGCCTTGATGACCTTGGCATTGTATGTGCATATGAGGTACCCTTGTTCTTAGTCGAAACAAAAGAGCAAAAAAGAAGAAAACTAAAATGTGGTAGAAAAATGAAAAGAGGAATGTGATCTGTTTGGTGTTACCACTTTTTATAGGCTGTCAAAGTTTGTCTAGAGAATGTCCCTGATGCCGAAGAAGAGTGCCAGTTCTATAGAGAATGTTCTTCGTATTTGAAAATTTTTCTCGATGAAGTATTGCTTATGATTGCCGGATTTCTTCAACCTGGTATGCCAATCGGCAAGCTTTTTTCTCACATTTCGATTGGTCGCATTGGATTGATACTTATTTCTAATTGATATTACTTCCTTCGCACTGCTTAGGCTGCGAACTTCATGCAAACTTTGAGTCTGACTATACAAAGGCGTGCGATTTGGGTTTCATATCTCCAAAGTTATACGAACTTCTTCAAATTTTCCAGTCATTTGGGTAAGTAAAACTACTCGTGGCCAAGTCCATATGAATTAATTTTGTTATAAAGTTAATTTATTGAAGTCCTTTGCCATTGCAGAACCGGTAGCAAAGTTCAATGCCTCATTTTCGTAGAGCGAATTATTACAGCGAAAGTGATTGAAATATATGTTAAGAAAGTGCGGTGCTTATCTCACTTGACGGTTTCATACGTGACTGGAAGTAACGGATCAGCTGATGCGCTATCACCGAAGCTGCAAAAGGAAACTATGGAATCCTTTTGCTCCGGGAAGGTACCTAATCTTTCACATCATTGATTTCAATTTATACGAAGCTTTGGTGTTAGAAAACCACAAAATCAGTGAAGAAACATTTCTATGATCAGGTCAATCTGTTGTTCGCTACGGATGTAGTTGAGGAGGGAATACATGTTGCAAACTGTTCCTGTGTGATTCGTTTTGACTTGCCCAAGACAGTTCGTAGTTATATCCAGTCCCGGGGAAGAGGTCGAAAAAATGACTCCCAATATATCCTAATGCTTGAAAGGTGAAGGCTTCTTTTTGTAGTTTCATATAAAAGTGATTGCAAGTCAGAATATTTTTTGGAGTTTGAGTTTTGACAGATATTTTACAGGAGCAACAAGAAGCAAATAGATCAAATGTTCGACATCATCAGGAGCGAGCATTCGATGACAGATACATCTAGAAACAGAGATCCTGAAGTGTGCACCTTAAAAGCTTGTTGTTTTGAGGAAACAAAATCGTATCGTGCAAAAGCTACTGGAGCATCAGTTACAACGGATTCAAGTGTCAGTCTTATATATCGATACTGCGAAAAGCTCCCGGGAGATAGGTATGGATATTTTGCCTTGTCAATCACAAGTTCTATTAAGCAGCTTTCTGTATTTCCTAACTGGTTGTTACAAAATGTAGGTACTTTACTCCGAAACCAACTTTTGACTTCGAAATTTCTGAAGGGTTGTACCAGTGTAGAATAACATTACCCCCAAATGCAGCTTTTCTAACAACGGTCGGTCCACTGAGCAGCAACACGCATTTGTCCAAGCAGCTAGTGTGCTTGGAAGCTTGTAAAAAACTCCATGAAATGGGAGCCTTGGATGATCATCTTCTCCCGCTTGTCCAAGAGCCCTTAGAAGATGATCTAATTCCAGAAAGAAGAGAGTTATCTGCTGGTGCAGGTATGTGTGTGTATAAATTTATAGACCTAATTTTTCGAAGGGGTAACCATTTAGCATTGTTGCTGGTTGGACGTAGTCTAGTTCAGCTATATTTATGATTCTAATTTCTTTATAACATTTGAGAGTGAAAATTAGTAACCAATGGCGTTTTTTGTATCGGCATCTCCTTCCAAATCTTTCTTTTAAGTATGTTCCCCTTGAAGTGCCAACATTTCTGATTTCAGTTTTACTTTTGTAAGGAACAACGAAAAGAAAGGAATTACACGGCACAACATCCATCCGGGCATTATGTGGAACTTGGGGAGAAAAACTTGATACTGTTTTTGAGGCCTATAAGTTTGATTTCTCGTGTAGTATCGTTGATGAGACATATTCAGGATTTGTTCTACTAATCGAGTCAAAACTCGATGATGATGTGGGAAATATCGAAATGGATCTTCAACTCGTCTCAAGGATGGTTAAATCTTCGGTCTCTTCATGTGGAAAATGTTATCTGAGTGCAGAGCAGGTAAGATTGCTATCACATTTCAATAGTTTCTTCTTGTTATTTAAACCACTTTCTGTAATTCTATGCTGCCTATTTTCTAACCAGGTAACGCAAGCCAAGCGCTTTCAAGAATTTTTCTTTAATGGTGTGTTTGGGAGATTGTTTTTTGGGGGAGAATCAGAAGGGACAACGCGAGAATTTTTACTCCAGACAGAAACAAAATCACTCTGGAACTCAGCATATATGTATTTGCTTTTACCCGTTGACACATTGGACACTTCAGAAGTGAACTGGAGAGGGATCAGTTCTTCTGTTAATGTGGTAGAATTTTTTAAGAAACAATACTCCACGCATTCCAAGTGTTTTAATGGTGATCACAGCGAGTTGCCACTTTCTAGGACTGGTTCATCCATGACAGAGTCGAAGGCTTCGAATCATATCCATTTCGCTAATAGTTCAATTGATGCCGATAATCTCCAAGATATGCTAGTATTGGCTATTCACACGGGACGTATCTATTCAATCATCGAAGTTGTCCATGGAAAATCTGCAGAAAGTTCTTTGGAGGAAAATATTGATGATGCATCATCGACATACAGTTATGCTCAGCACTTCAAAACGAAGTATGCGATATGCAATCCCCGTGCTGTGTTAGATTTATCAATTTTTTTCTTTCACAACTTTCTCATAGCACGAGCATGTTCAGGTATGGGATTTCACTTGTTTATCCCGGACAGCCTTTGCTGCGGTTAAAGCAAAGTCATAATCCGCATAACTTGCTTGGTGCCGAAGGTATGTTTTGTATGTTCGGATCTTTGTTTTACAGTTTCGTCATGTACAGTATAAGCATATTCCTAAATCAGCAGGTGCTTCATCACAAGACGGTCGAGTAATCAAGGAACAAGCTCATGTTCGTATGCCTCCCGAGATCTTAGTCAGTATTGATTTTCAGGTGGATGTTTTACGATCATGTTACTTGTTACCGTCAGTAATGCACCGGCTGGAGTCACTAATGCTAGCTAGCCAGCTCAGGGAAGAGATCAATGGCCAAACTAACAACTTTAAAATATCAAGTTCATTGGTTAGTTCTACTATCCTTCTTTAATGTCGATGTAATTCGTTCTTCATCCAACTTCCATTGCATCACTATAACTATATCTAATACAAAGACTTTGTGTTTAGATTCTGGAAGCACTCACAACACTTAGGTGTTGTGAAGATTTCTCATTGGAACGTTTGGAGTTGCTCGGAGATTCAGTTCTCAAGTACGCTGTGAGCTCCTACCTTTTTCTCAGATATCCTGAGAAACATGAAGGACAACTAACAGCTCGGCGTACAAGGGTAATATGTAACTCCAACCTGCATAAACTAGGAATCCAACGAAAGATACAGGTATCAGATGCATTCGATATTTGAAGCTATAATTTGTTTTCGTAGTAAATATATCAAAGTGTTGGAAGATCCTAAAAACACATGAACTTGCATTGAAGTCTGTAACTTAGGCATCAAGGTACTCACACAAAAACAAATCTTTTTTATGTGTTTGACAGGGATATATACGTGACAGCGCATTTGAACCACGCCGTTGGGCAGCTCCAGGGCAGCTGTCTAGATTCCCTGATCCGTGTAAATGCGGAGTGGACACCTTAGAAGTGCCTTTGGACAGCAGATTTCAAACTGTAGAAGCGGTAAAGGTCGGAAAATTCTGCGATAGTGGCCATAGATGGATGAACTCGAAAACCATAGCAGATTGTGTTGAGGCCCTCATAGGAGCCTACTATGTCGGCAAAGGACTGTTTGCTGCACTACATGTGATGAAGTGGCTTGGTATTGATTCTGATTTTGAACCCTCATTAGCCACTGAAGCCATTACGAGGGCTTCCCTCCGATCTTACTACCCAAAACATGATGACATCGCTGCCTTGGAGTTGAAGCTTGACTACCAATTTTCGGTTAAGGGTTTGTTACAGGAGGCCATAACACATGCCTCTGAGCAAAAACTAGGTGCTAGCTACTGTTACCAGGTTTGAACTTGATCTTTTCTGCAGATTTTGAGTCCCCTTAGTTTGTTCCCATTTTTTTTTTCTAGTACACAGAAATTCATACAATAGCTCATTTTTCTACTTGAATAATTTGACAGAGGCTCGAGTTTCTTGGCGACTCTGTGTTGGATGTGCTAATCACACAGTATCTCTATGATAGCCACACAACTATTAATCCGGGATGGTTGACAGACTTGCGATCAGCTGCCGTTTGTAACGAAAACTTTGCCCGAGCTGCCGTGAGAAAGAAACTTCACCCACATCTTCAACATTGCTCCGGGTTACTTCTGAATCATATCACAGAGTATGAGAAGTTGTGTACTGCTGAAGCTCTTAACACCACCAGCCTACTTGAAGACGTAAAAGGCCCTAAAGTACGCCTCTTAGGCCTTATTCGACTTAAACTTCTAAACAGTTAGCTGCTCTGTGTTAACGTCAAGTTTTGTTAATAACCACGACTTGTTTAATGCAGGCTCTTGGGGACATGGTAGAAAGCATAGCTGGGGCTATATACATGGACAGCAATCTCGATCTTAACAAAGTATGGAGGGTGTTTAAACCGCTATTATCTCCGATCGTGACCCCTTCCACTCTGCAATTACATCCGCTGCGTGAACTGACCGAGTTCTGTGGTTCTCTCGGGTACTTTGTGAAAGAAAATTGTACTAAAGAGGATTCATTGGAGCATGTGGAAATGACGTTGCAGCTGGAAGATGGTCTTTTGGTTGGTAATGGGTACGATCGGAGCAAGAAAGCTGCTAAACAGAAAGCAGCTCGTCAACTGTTGAAGGAGCTCCAGGGTTGCCATTCAGTGTTTAAAAGGAGAAAACTTGATCCTGACCGTGTAGATGAGCTCTCTTCCGAAGGCATGGAGATTGAACACTGCAGCCAACTGAATGATACTCATTCTTTAGAGTCGATCAATCGAATCAAATCACCATATGCAGACTCGAGAACAGGTCCTACCCCGACCAATTTTGGTCCTAACAAAATCTACAGTCACAACATTGTAACCCCAAGTTTACATGGTTAGTGAACAAATGAATCAACCTATTCCGCTGCTCGCGGTTATCATTATTTTCTCCCATTTTCATTTACATGCTATTCATTCTTGTGTGCAGCTATAGCTTCGATCAGCACGAGGAAAGGAGCAGCGCGGGCTTCTCTCTTTGAGCTGTGTAAGAGAATGCAGTGGCCAATGCCTACATTCAAAACAACAGAGCATAAATCGAGGTGATTCGAATCAACCAAACCGCACTTAATTGTTTCCTTTTCCTAGGGGCTAAACTAACTAGTGTCTTCCTCCTGCAGAACTCCAATCGAATTTGGTGAGGGCTCTGAAAAGAGAATCGGTTTCAACAGCTACGCATCGGAAATAAGTTTGCAGATACCAAACTATGGGACTGTTGTATGCAGAGGAGATCCTAGAGCTGATAAGAAGAGTTCATATGACTCTGCAGTAGTTGCCCTGCTTTACAAGCTTCAACGACAGGGAAAACTTACAATTGGGTGCTCTTGAGGGGTGGGAAATGGCTGGGTTGGTTAGGTTGGACTTCAACCCATTGGTCAACCCAATAGGCTCGAGTTGGTACTATTGAAACTCATTTCCATCCAAGAAAATGGTCAAACCAACTCACCTAAACAATTCTAAGACAAGGTGTGGGGTTTTATTACAAAAGGCCTCGGTTATAGTTAGAGTAGGGTAATTCTATTTAAAGTACTCTTCTCTTCTCCCTCTGTCCAATATGGGACAAAATGGGGTTCCAACACTCCTCCGCACATGAGACCCCATTTTATGGGTCACACGTGAAAATCCACATCAGCAACCACGTGGAGCCCTCCCTCTGTCCAATATGGGGTTCCAACACTCCTCCGCACATGAGACCCCATTTTATGGGTCACACGTGGAAATCCACATCAGCAACCACGTGGAGCCAACGGGGGCTCACCCATTGCGTGGGGTCAAACAGGGACCCACCCAATCACGTGGCAGTACGGGGCCCGTCCCCTGGCTCTAATACCATGTGGAATTTTTCAAGTCGACGGGCCGAGGGCCCACTCCAACAACACCAATACTATTCCCACTTAACCACCTGCACAATCCTCAAGTGTGGGGTTTTATCATAAAAGGCCTCAGTTTTAGTTAGAGTAGGGTAATTCTATTTAAAGTACTCTTCTCTTCTCTCTCTGTCCGATGTGGGACAAAAAACGGTTCCGACAGTTATTAATACTTCAACCCAACCCAATCCATCTATTGGACGGGTAGTCAGTTTTCTACACGAAAATAGATGTTTAGAGCTTACAGCCAACCCAACCCAACCAATTTCAGTTAGGTTGGTCGGTAAGGCCACTAAAGTGCCCAACCCTAGATAGTTAGCAAATAATGTCCAGAATCAATAGACATTGTCGAGGTAAACTCTGCTTTAGTAAAATTTGTATTGGTATAAAAATTGAGAAGGTCAAGTATAATACTTTATCAGTCACAATGAAAAGGGGGAAGAAAGCTATGTACATAAACACCAAGCAGGTTATAAACACGCTTTTCTTCGCTGTGACCCCGATCATCAGCTTTATAGCTTATTCTCTCTACTCTCCCTTCTCTTGATAACTACTATCAATCGCCAACCACAAAAAAACTGGCACGGGAAATAGAGATTAAATAGAGATGATTGTATCAACGTGCTACGGAAGATATCAGTCACCTTAAATGACAAACCCCTTAAAAGTGGCTCAGCACAACTCAGATGTGGTAATATTTGCATTTGTGAGTCAACAGGCATTGTTGGCCGGCAATATCAGTAGGCCCTTGTCCCAAGACACTGGCCTTCATCTTCCCGGGTCGTGGTTATAACTGTAACTTCTTGGCCAACATGAGTTTGATCCCTGCAATCGAGAAAGCCTGATATTAGTGGCACATCCATGTTGTGCTAGTGACATCAACGAGTCATGATTTCTAGCCAACCGCATAATAGTAAAAAGAGGCTCCAAATTTAACCGCCTTATAAACAATGTTCAATTTTATTACTAAAGGTTCTAGGAACTTACAGTTAAGCTGTCCTCCTTAAAACTTTCCAGCGACTCAGCAAGCTCCACTTGTTTTGATGCGGTTGCAAACAATGCCTGAAAGAAAAGATCTTGGATTTAGTAGCTGACTCTATACGACGGAAACAGGAAACCTTATTGGTACACACTTCAGAATAACCTATGATTTCAAGAAAGATGGTTGACTTACTTTCTTTGTCTTCTGTAAGTCGTACTCTATAGATTTAATGCGACTTAAAGATTCGTGAAGCATGTCTTCTTTCTCTTGAGGAATTTTAATAGGTTTGTTTATCAAATTGGTAACCAATACTTCTAATTGCTGCAGTCTCTGCCAGAGAGGGTCTACATCTACTCCCTGTGAATACTGTTGTTCCTGAGAGCTTGAATTTTCAAGTGGCGGAGGTTTGCATGGTGTTTTTAAGCGGCTCTCTGAATAACATGCTGCAAATATCCTCCCTAACATTGGGAATATCAGACATATGCCTGTTAATATTTTGAGTATGAAGTGAATGGTTAAACTTGCTACATGTGGAATGGATGTCTTCAGCGACCTTGTCAGGGTGAAGTTCATGGGTGAATCACCTGTCAAAAAACAAGTTAAACTTGAATAAGAAACTTCCAAGTCTGAGGCATGAAAAGCAAGCTGCCACTACGTTACGAGTAAACATAAGCAGCTTGATAAATGACCGACGATCACCTACTTGTTAAACTTGAATTAGCAACTTCCATTCTTGCCGCAGCACTGCCTGATTCAACTAGGTTGCAGGGAGATGCAGAGTCAGTTGCCCTCTCCTGAGACAAATCAGACAAAATATAGAGGACGAAAGAGTTAGAAATTAATTGATATTTTATCATTTTTGGTCTATGAGGAATTCAAAAATTACATGAAGGACCAAAATAGTAAGTAATATCTTTAATTTTGGCTAGATATATAGATGCTATAAATAAAATAGCTATTAGAGATGTAGTCAGTAGTGAAGTCAAAGGATACGACACCCAAGAAAGAGAACTTCAGAAAATTTACTTCGTCAGATTGAGACTTTGATAGCTGCATGAAGGCAGAAGTACTCGACCTCATTTCTGATCCCGACTCAGCTGCAGATACTATTTTACTATCTGTTGTCTGCAAAGTAAACCCAAGATATGTGAAATATGATACATGAGTAAAAGGTCATAAAGATCAGTATCCATTGAAGGTTTGGCTTCAAGTCACCTTAGAGGTAAGCAGCTTGATTCCAAAATCATCGCCATCAGAAGAACTTTTGATTTTTCTCAAGTACATTGCTTCTGCAACGTGTACCAGCTGCAAAAAGAAGTCAAATGAGTATGGAACCGACAAGAAAACCACCTAATATTCGGCCTATTAATTCAAAACTGTTAAATCCACTTGAACCGTACTTTCATTATTTCTGGATCATTCCAGGGTCCCTTCTCAGACCTAAGGCACCCGCCTTCATTTGGACACGAGCAAGTTCCCCCAAGGAAATCCGGAAGTTGACTGTTTAAAGAAAAAGTTGCTACAATAAGTTTTGAAACACAAACCAAAAAAGTTTCAAATCGAATTAATTTATCAAATAGTAAGAAGTCCCAACCTTGAGTCTATGATTTCCAAAAGCTTGTTTTGAAATCTGTTGCCTAAGACCTGCAGAAGAACTTATTAGTAGTCCATAGGACCTTCAAAATGAAAGTAACAAATGAAAAATATCCACATACATGTATCTTTCCAGTAGTCCTTGGGTCAAGAAACCCTTTTGCTGTGTTCCAAAGTAGCTTGAATCCGTTACCAGCATTTACCACAAACATTTGATTTAACGTCTGGAGAATGAGCTAGTATCAGAAATGAATAAAAACCATTTCATTAATATTATAAGTTGGTTTCAGATAATATTAAATCCACCTCAGGATAGTTATCGCCGTCCATTTTCTGAATGCGAATAACAAGGTCAAGCGCAACCTTGCCAAAGCTCATCCAGTTCTGCATGATAATAATGATAATAAAAAACAGGAAAAAGTGTAGTTATTGCTAAAAATACACATGATGCATAGAACTGAATAAACCCATTTGTGAGTTAGGAAGTTACCATCCCTTGGACATCTAGTATAGCAGTCGTTGAATCTATATGCCTTTTGGCCACAATAGAACATGCCGGGAATTTCTCAGCAAAAGCCTTCTCAAAACCCTGGGCATGATATTTTAGAAACCGTTCCACTGTGGTGACATTCATTAGCTTGCTAGGTTCAACTTTTCCAAGTCTTTCAATATAAACAGGCCGTCCTGCCTTGTCTACCCCATGATAAGCATGAGGATAAAAACGCTGAACCTCTTCATATTCACTGTACACGAAATCCTATAAATTTATCATTATAACACCCCTATTAGAATCCTGTGAATGAAATGAAATGTCCGACAAAACAGGCATTAAAAAGTTCCTCTTGTTCGATATTCTGTAATCTTTAAAAATTACTAACAAAAGTTTCATTCTTTATCAAATGAAAATGGAATAGTAAAAGATATACAGGCATTATACATGTATCAGTTGTCCTTCGAAGTACTCTTAATAGCATTATACCTTCACAATAGATTCTACTCCAAACTCTCTCCTCCAGTTGAGCATTTCGGCCCACATTTGAAGAGATTTATCAATGTCAAATTTCCTCGCCTTCAAAAATCTGCATAAACAATGCCTAGCTGTTAGTAATCGAATCCAAAACGCTAAAAGGACAATAAAAAATAAACACTATCACTGCAACGAGTCAATCACCTCAGCATTGTATGATAATCATCAAATTGAGCCGGAAGCATATCTTTAGCAACCAATGCCTCGCGAAGCGTAATCACAGCTTCTTCCTCCTCAGCATCCCGAGCATCTTCGATTGAAATCGAAGCGTAGCGGCAATTGGCCACACGCTTTCCGCGCTTTCTAAGAGTGTTTGTCAATCTCAAGGAAGCATTTGAAGTTCTTTTCTTAAGAGATCTGCTCCGAGGCCTCCGCCTCTCGGCCTCGGAGGTTTCGAAATCAAAAGTTCTGGACTTTTCGTCTTCTTGCAACGAAACTACTTCTCCTAAAATTACATATCAAAATGCAGAAAAATGAAAATTTTGGATCAAAAATAAAATTAAGATCCGATTTTTGTAGAGAATCTCATTGAGGAATCGGAATAATGTACCTGGCATTGCTGCTAATCGAATCGGATAACAGCTCGAGCTCGGATTACATTCTGCATCGAATAAGAAGAGCAAAAACAGAGAAAATCAAATTTACGAATAAAATCCGAAATTTCTTAGAAAATACTCAATAGGTCAAGAAAACGACTAAATCTACCAAGATTTTAGCAAAATCTCCGATAAAACCGGGAAACGGATTGAAAACCAGAATCCAGAAACGAAAATTCAAAGCCGAGAAAAAATGTCAAAATTTCAAGTTTGCATTCGTACCGTAAGCTGATCAGGTGATTGAATCGGAAGCGGAACGGCAAATTGCAGGCGAAGCGCATTCGCGGGAACCGAGCGCACGCGTGGCGGAGAATTTCGGAAAGAATGGAACTGAATTGAATTGTTTATGCTGCCTCTCTCTCTGTGAAATAACAGGCGATGAAAGAGAGAG